TTAAATTAACAAATTTTCTTTTCAATTTCTCATCACATTGTTATTGTAATCTTTTTTCTAAAAGATTTGGAGAGGCGATATATGGCGAGGAAGAACTTTGTGGATTCATCTTCCATGATCCGAAAAAGCTTTTCAGGTTGTTGCTATATAATTTACTATCGATTCTTTTTCTTCCTTGCAATTCAAATTATTAATGACACATTATTAGGAGCAAAGCCATATATCTAAAGAATTAATAATGATAATTCAAAGAAGACTTTTATTTGAAACTGTATTTGATAATTCAAAGTTTGTAACGAGATTCATTCTAAATTCGATTCGGTCACTTAACAAGTATATAGAAAAAGTTTTAACTGTATATCATTCCAATTTTTCTTATTACATCTCTCCTCAGATAGACACTCGAGCATACGAATTGATGGTCTGAATCTAAGCTCCCCCAAACACAATGCAGATGCTCAGGAGTTCAGGTTTAGTGTAATACTTTCAAGTGGAAGTTCTTGATTCTAAGAAAATATAAAACAATATTTCAGTCTCTTTTTTAAATTGATATATACGGTTGTTTCCCCCTTTTTCTGCAGGTTATTTGTTGGAACATGGAATGTTGGGGGTAGATCTCCTAACAATAGCCTGAACCTTGAAGACTTGCAGGTTATTTGTTGGAACATGGAATGTTGGGGGTAGATCTCCTAACAATAGCCTGAACCTTGAAGACTTCCTGCAAGTTGAAGGATCTTCAGATATTTGGGGGTAGATCTCCTAACAATAGCCTGAACCTTGAAGACTTCCTGCAAGTTGAAGGATCTTCAGATATTTATGTCTTAGGGTAGGGGAAAATTATCCATCACGAAGTAAAAAGATTCTATAATTTACAATTCTAGATTAAAGCAACTTTGTATGATCACACAAATTTCTGCAATCTGAGTACCAGTCATGTCTCATAGAGCTAACATTATCTGCATTCTGGCAATTACAAGAAAAAGCTTGATATTTCAGACAATTTTTGATAGGATGAATCAATAAATAACACTTCTATATAAATTTGTTTCCCTCGATCAGATATCTCATGGATATGGTAGAGTGATCTTCAGATATATGTCTTAGGTTAGGGATGCGCACGGCAAGCCTTTTGTTTATTTTCTCTTTTCCCCCCTTAATATTACCGTGATTTAATCACCTAACTAAGGTTGTTAGTTAAATTCAAGCAACTACGTACGAAAGTAAGTCTTGAAATAAATTCAATAGAACGAGCAATTAAAATAATTTTTTTTTGATTTTAAGGAAATAAGAATGTATCAATAAATGATACTAATTTTTAGCGCAATTGGTTGTTTCTGCAGGTTTCAGGAAATAGTTCCTCTCAGTGCAGGTAACGTCTTGGTCATCGAAGACAATGAACCTGCAGCAAAATGGCTTGCTCTCATCAGCCAGGCCCTCAACAAACCTTTCTATCAATCCTCAAAGGATGATTCCTCCGATTCAAACAGCTCAAGAACCGAATCCAACAGCTCGAAGCACAACGGTAATCAAAGCAACAAAGACTTAAAATCCAACAGCAGTCTTCACTTTTTCCAGAAACCCTCCCTTAAAGTCCTCAGCAAATCTTATCGCTCCGATAGCACTCATGTCAAAAGCTGTAATTGTTCCAGTGAATCCATGAGCGAGCGTCGAAGGACGCGAGAGCTCAGAGAGTTCATTCAAAAGGTTGAGTCCTCTGATGAGGACTCACCTACTCGTGAAGAAAGTACAGAGACTCAGAATCACATGACTTATTGTTTGGTTTCGAGCAAGCAAATGGTTGGCTTATTTCTCTCGGTCTGGGTCAGGACTGAGCTAGTTCAACATGTTGGCCACGTCAGGGTTTCTTCTTTAGGGACAGGAATCATGGGTTGTTTAGGGAACAAGGTAACTTGCTGAAGGATTATTCAAATTCTGATACCCTGGTATATATGGTATTATTACACGGATGACCCCGGAATTAATTACTTAGATTACATGGGTAACCATGAGTGACCCTAAAATTAAAATTATTAGGGTCAAATGTGTAATCTTAATCAGTTTATGCGTGTACACGAATAACCCTGGAATTAATTACTTAGATTACATGGGTAACCATTAGTAATACGAATAACCCCGGAAGCAATTACTTAGATTGCAGGGGTAACCATATGAGTAACCCTAAAAATTATTTTTATTAGGGACACATGTGTAATATTAATAAGTTTGTCCGTGCAGATATGCAAACTTTAGGGTCACCCGTATAATTACATATCATACCACAGGGTGCCTGATCATGTAAATAATCGCTTGCTGAAAATTTCATAAATTTTCAGATACTATTGACTGGGTTTTTGTTGAGTTTATTAAAGTTTTGGGAAATTTTGCATTTTTGCAGGGTTGTATAGCGATGAGTATGTCGTTATATCGATCTACATTTTGCTTTGTTTGTAGTCATCTGGCTTCGGGAGAGAAGGAGGGGGACGAGCTGAAAAGAAATTCAGATGTTTCTGAGATCATGAAGAGTATTCAGTTTCCTAGAATATGCAAGGCTCCCATTCGACGGATTCCTGAAAGGATTCTTGATCATGAGTATGTTTTCCAGATGATGATCTGATCATTCGTTACTCGCAAATCTATGTCGTATTTGTAACTTTTCAAAATTCGATTGTTCAGTCGGATAATTTGGCTGGGAGATTTGAACTACCGGGTTTCATTGAGCTATGCTGAAACAAAAACATTGTTGGAGGATAATGACTGGGATTCCCTCCTAGAGAGGGATCAGGTATATCAGTCTTGCTAAATTTTTAAGCATTTCGGAATTATTTCACTAATGGCTTAATAACCTGTAACAGTTAATTCTCGAGAAAGAAGCAGGAAGAGTATTCAAAGGATGGAAAGAGGGGAAAATCCTCTTTGCTCCTACGTACAAATACACACAAAACTCTGATGCATATGCTGGAGAAACCATCAAGTCTAAAAAGAAACGTCGAACCCCTGCATGGTAAGCGATTTCTGTAACAGTTATCACAAACTTTGCGCCACTTACGCAATATGATTTCTATAATCAGGTGTGATCGCATATTATGGTTCGGTGAAGGGATAGAGCAGGTGCAGTATATCCGAGGGGAATCGAGATTCTCAGACCATAGGCCAGTTTGTGCAGTGTTCATTGCTCAAGCGGAGACTGGCGACAAAAATTTAATTCGAAAGGGGTATTCTGGGTACTCCGCCGTGACTGAAAGAGTGCCTTTCGAAGATGTAATACCTCAAAGACACAGCTTCTATGAGTTCTAGAGAGAGAGAGAGAGTTAATTACAAGAGTGTGGATTGTTCAGGATGAGAAAAAAATGTACATAAACTGTTACATTTGGTACTTATTGGAGACCTGAGATGTACATGTATGTAGTCAACAGATACAATATTCTTGTCAGGTAAACACAAGGTGAGGGTACAAATATATATTATGATCAGGTATTCTGTATATTGTGATGCATTGACATTATAAGCTCGTCGATTGATCTCTGATCAATCAGAGAAACGTCGATTTCTGACAAACTGAGCGCCGAATCGTTACCCTCAATCTCATCGTTTCTTTCCTTATCATCAATCGCTAGCAAGGTCTCCTCTTGATTCAGCACTCTAGTCCACGTCTCATTTTCTCTAGAGCTCGTCTTGTTTTGTAACCTTTTGGAGTGCAACACCAGATTCCTCAACTGATCCAGGTTTGGGCTCATGTGCTTGATCACTGCGGCCAATAGGCTTAGCTTCCACGCCTTTTTGAGGTCATGTGGCTTTCTATAAGGTGGTGGGCCTTGGGCCTTAGCATGATCCCCTTGAATCCCCCACCAAGTCTCAAGCCCAGTGGGCCACCAAGGTGGAGCAAGGCCCTTCTCCAAAGGAAACATCCTTTGTGGCGGATCACAATGTTGCAGTAAGGCCGACAAAAGCGAGCCCAGCGTGCTGTCCTGTATCACATTGAGATCCCCTATACGCGAAACCGGGCCTGAGCCCAAATCCAATCCATGGCTCGGGCCGGGTTCAGTCAGAAACTTCTCAATCGCAGCCGGCCCATTGTGATCGAAGCGGACCATCAAGATTAATCATGTTTGTGCATCCCATCAAGCTTCATCATCACACTCACATGTACACACACGTATAGATCATCATAAACATGCCCATATGTACAAATGTGAGTTTTGTGGTCGTTTTGGTCATTTGGCCGAATATTGTTTTGATTTGAAAAGAAAATCACGTTTGCCAAATGTTTCTAGTAGACCACAAGTGTTTGAATGTGATATTTGTGGTAGATTTGGTCATTTGGCTAAGTTTTGTTATGATTTGAAAAAATGTTCAAACTTGCCAAATTTCTCAAGTAAACCACCTTTGTTTAATAAGGTTTCTCATTTGCAAAATAAATTTAAAAGACAATCTTTAGTTGCAAATGATTTTTGTGCACGCTCGCTTGGTCAACACAAATATTTTTACTCTTTTCATTGCACGAATTGCAATCGAAAGGGTCATTTGAATGAATATTGTTTTGATCGTGCTAGTACATCATATGTGCCCAAGAGGGTTCATAACCCTAGGGCTTTGAGCTTGAATGATAGGGGTCATGTCCCTAAATCTTTTGGTACCAAGAGAAGTGTGTGGTGAGAGACGGGGTCGAATCCAAGAGGAGTGGCGTCGGTTGACGTGCCTAGGGAGAGGTTGTAACCGAGCACTTGAGGAGGAGGATACGGGCTAGGACCAACACTTAGTGTGTGAGGTGTGATTGCATAGTGATTGTATTGTGAGGTGTAAACGTTGTTCGGGTGAACGTAGAAAACCCGGTTGTGATAGTGGAGATCTCCTCGAGGTGAAGAGCGGAGACGTAGGTCGTGGGGACCGAACTCCGTAATCATATTGTTTGTTTGTGATTGCATTGGCGCACTTCCTTTATGTTCATATATTATATCGCCTTTGTTTATTGCTTGTTGATTATATTGCCCACTATCTAGTTTAGATTGTTTACCCTTGAGTTTATATATCCTTGCACATACATTGCCTATATCTCATTATTAGGATATATCTTATTGTTCATATTGCTTATCCTAGCTCATATATCTTGTTGTAGTTCATACTTGCTAGGATAACTTATTAATTAAGTTTAATTGGTATTTAATCGGATTAGATTAGCTTAAGACCCTAATCACCCCCCTCTAGGGTCTAACAAAACTTTCATTATGTTCGTGCACTCAACACTTTCATGGTTAGAGTCCGAATATAATGCTTGGAATTTTAATCTGTCCATCCTTGACAAATTGTCAAATCCCTTCGTGTTAAGTCCCTATCATTTAACACCAGGAACCCCATTTGAGTAATTTGTACAAGTCAACACCCCACTATAATTTGTACTCCCACTCCTATTTGGTCAAACCTTCTTACAGTTAGGACCACAACCAAAATCTCCTCTCAATTCCTCTAATGAACGAGAGATCCACAAATCGAGCGATCAAACCTTCCTACAGTTAGGATCGTCTTAAACATCCCACTCGGTCAAACCTTCCTACAGTTAGGGCCAAAACCAAAATCCCCTCTTGATTCCTCCAATGAACGAGAGGTCCACTTTCAAATCGAGTGATCAAACCTTCCTACAGTTAGGGTCATCTCAAATTCCCACTTGGTCAAACCTTCCTACAGTTAGGACCAAAACCACAATTCACTCTCGATGAACGAGAACTTTATCTTTAGTTCGGTAATCAAACATTCCGACAGTTAGGGTTATCCGAATCTTTTTGATTCTCAGAGTGGAGATCCCACTCCTAGTTTTACCTTTCCGGATTCTGGGGGTGGAGATCCCATCTCGAGTCTCCTTTCCAACTGGAGATAGAATATAAAATGGGGGTGGAGATCCCATCTCGAGTCTCCTTTCCAACTGGAGATAGAATATAAAATTCTCCCTCTTTAGTGCCGAGAGATAGAATATAAAATTCTTTCTTTCTTATTTCAGATTCGTCTTTGCCCCAAGAGAAGACACCACTTTTTCAACTCCCAAAAATCCGTGCCTCACACGCACGGGGAATTTTATCCCGAATCCTGAGCAAGGATAAGTCAACGCCTAACACGCGTTGCCGGTATAGTCTTTCACCGATTGAAAAAGACACCAGAATCCCGTCTGGGGTATTTTATCCCGAAGCCTAAGTAGGGATAAGTCAGCGCTTAACCCGCATTGCTGGGTGGTTCGTTCTCGGAAAAACGACCGAGCCTACGTATTCAGCATCGTAGCAACAAAAATCCATGCCTTCTATGCATGGGGAATTTTATCCTGAATCCTAAGTAGGGATAAGTCAACGCCTAATACGCGTTGCCGGTTAGTCCTTAACCGTAAAAAGGACAAAAGCCCACATATTCAACATTGTGGCAGGTTGTTATTAATAACGCCAAAATCCGTGTTTCACACGTACGGGAAATTTTATCTCGAAGCCTAAGCAGAGATAAGCCAACGCCTAACACGTGTTGCTGGTTTAGTCTTTTACCGATTGAAGAAGACACCAGAATCCGAGTCTGGGGACTTTTATCCTAAATCCTAAGTAAGTATAAGTCAGCGCCTAACACGCATTGCCGGGTAACATGTTCCCGTAACAATGGCGAAGTCTACGTATTCGAAGTCGTAGCATCAAGTCTAAGGGAGTTCATTTCTTTAGCACAATGTCACATTCGGAACGGATTTAAATAATCCGCTTGCTAGCCCGACTCAAATGGTAGTCGGTAAAGGTACATCAAATCCGTTGATGGCTGAGGATTTGCCAAAAATCCTAAGTCTACGTCTAACACACGTTGCCGGGTAATCTATTCCTATGAGAAAGACGAAGTCTACGTATTCAATGTCGTAGCACTAAAAGAGTTAACTCTCTTTTAGCACAACGTTATGTGCAGAACGGATCTAAACAATCTGCATGCTAGCCCGACTCAAACGGTAGTCGGTAAAGGCTCATCAAACTCGTTGATGGCTGAGAATTTGCCAAAAAATTCTATAAATGCGAGTTATTGACGTACCAGCTCCATTAGTTGGTCTCGTGACTTGAGCATCCAACAACTTCAGGAAAAGATCTATACATACAGATGAATCAGCTTTAACAGTTGGTCCTGTAGCCCGATATTTGGGACCGCCATGCTCCAATACCTTAAGAGCTTAAACCGTGTAAATTCTAATGGGTACATGAGTCTAAACTGTTTCCCATTTTGATAGGAAGTTCCTGCAGAATATTACATATAATAATTCTTAAGGATAACCTGGCAACCTCCGACGAGTACACGAGGCTAAACTAAGTCCCAAAACTCCCAGGAGCATACGAGTATAAACTGGTTCTCCTCAGGTTAATTCGAAACCCTATGGTCAACGACGGTCAATGCGTTGCGATGAGAGTCAACGCCGATCGATTCGAAACCCTAAGGTCAATGCCGGTCAACGCCGGTCAACGCGCAACCCTAGGTTAACGCCAGTCAACGCGTTGCGATGAGAGTCAACGCCGATCGATTCAAAACCCTAAGGTCAACACCGATCAACGCGTAGCCCTAGGTCAATGACGGTCAACGCGTTACGATGAGAGTCAACATCGATCAACACGAAACCGTAAGGTCAACGCCGTTCAACGTGTAGCCCTAGGTCAACGCCGATCAACGCGTTACGATGAAGAGTCAACGCCGATCGACGCGTAGCCCTAGGTCAACACCGGTCAGCGCGTTGCGATGCAGATAATTAATCCAAAAGTCAACTCAATAACACGAGTCAAAGTCTACTCACCAATTCCGGTTCAAGGCTTCAATAACGGTCAGACGATAAATGTAGTACCGGGAAAATCTTAGCTATTCGATAAAATACAGAATATGCTAAAATGTGGAGAAGTCAAGAATCGAAACCATCTGTAGGTCCTTTAACACTGACTGAAGGTGGGGATCCATCATATCCAAAGCATTTCAGACTCCTCTATAAAAGAATGAGGCTGAAACACTTTGGAGGACGTATATGTAGACGTCTAAAATTGTCTACGAGAGCCCGCACGAAGCTCGAAGCAATGAATGGGCGAGTCAAGAAGATTCACCTAATCAGCTTGTACGCGCCGGTCAACGCGCGTACGTCAAACTAGCTCGTGCGCGCCGGTCAACGCGCATACGTCAAACCAGCTCATGCGCGCCGGTCAACGCGTGTACGCCAAATCATCTCGTGCGCGCCGGTCAACCGTGTACACGTCAACCAGCTCGTGCGCGTCCGCGTGTACGCCAAATCATCTCGTGCGCGCCGGTCAACCGTGTACACGTCAACCAGCTCGTGCGCGTCGGTCGACGCGCGCACGCCAATCAGTCCGTGCGCATCAATCAACACGCGTATATTAACCAAAGTGCGTTCGACGGTCGGCCTTGCAGCGTTGCGATAAAAGTCAACGAATCGACCAAACACGCGAAAAGAACAAGTCTCGGAAGAAAGAGAACAGAAAAGGAGAGAACAGAAAAGGAAAATGTCAACAAAACTGCGCGAACGCAGGACGGAACAAACCGACCCGCGCAAGCGCGGGTCGGATTGGTCCGACCCGCAATTGTGCGGGTCGGACTGATCCGACCCACGCCGCGCAGTCCGAAACCTGAAACATGTTTTGACGGTTTTAAAGCTGTTTTCACAGGATTTATCTGTTCCAGGGGTTCCCAACTGACTTGATATGACGGTTTTAAAGCTGTTTTCACAGGATTTATCTGTTCCAGGGGTTCCCAACTGACTTGATATCATCCCAAAACATGGTTAGGCTATTGTTAACTGAAGATAGAGCCAAATCACTTGTTCTCATCCAAATAACCGCTTCCGAAGCCCTATAAATACAAGCCTAGGGCCTCCTTTCAGTGAGGACGAATATTTATCAAGACGTGGAGGTGCTGCTGGATTGAGGAGTCAAGGAGCACGAATTTCAGGGAAGGCAAATCAGATCCTGGCGAACTTCATCATAAAGAAGGAGCTATTCGAAGGATCTGAACCTCGTCCATCCGTCCCTTGAGATTAGGCTTGGTCTTAATCTCGAGAAGAGTCCTGATTTCGCTTGGTCAATCTCAGCACTTCAAATCA